CTCAGACAGGTGTCAGTGTGCGGTAAACGAATCGCACCAGTGGTGATTCATGTACTGCTACCCCCACCAAGTTACTTAATCAAAATGGAATAAGGCAGTTTTTAAAGGTACACCTTTTTTTGATTGGTCACCACTGCAACAATTCTTTGAAAGAGTAACTCCAGGAATCTAAAAAAATTACCTTTGCAGTGGGGCTACTTCTATACTGCAATGGTAACTGCTCATTTTGTATAGAGGTTCAAATACAGAAAATATATTCACCTGATCCTCGATCCCACCTGGCTGGTAGACTGGTCCTGGCTGGTAGACTTGCGGTCTAAGCCTCACTGACGTCATCACATCTAATAGAGTCCATTCACCTATATTAAATGTGAGCAGGCAGAGCGGAGGGGGAGAGGGGTGAGCACCAACCTCCGTAGGACCAAGGATAGGGTGAGTATATCTTCTGTAATCCAGCACCTAGATAAAAACATGCAGTTAACCCTTGCAGCGTGGGGGTAGCCCCACTGCTAGAGCTAACTTTGTAAATGACTGGATTTTTTCTTTAAAGAACTCTTTGTTTGCACAACAGTCAAGGTACTATAGAAATACTGATTTATTTAAAAATGACATGTTCCTTTTAAAACCCAGTCTTGGATACTGGTTAATGATATATCAAGGGAAAACTGCCATATGTTGAATTAGACTCTTACACATGTTTAATCTAAGCATAAATGTTTACCATATTGTATTGTATATCAAAACATTTTTTATCATGTGAATACCATGCTTTTAGTAAAGAATGCTCTGTTTATCGGCATATTTATGTCTCTTAATATTATCAAGTTGACTGCAAGACAAAAATATAATCAAAGCAAAGATGAGGCATTGCCAGAAATCCAGTTGCCTTAGGCACAGCAGGGTTTAACAAAACTGCTCCAGTCTTAATTAAACTGAATATGCTTTGTGGCAGATTTATGTCAGTGTCGGAGAAAATGCATGTATTTATTGTCCTTTGTTGTATATTACAACATATCCCAATTCGTTAAGCAATCACACCCAGTATTTCTTGTAAATATAATTTTCCAGGATAAAATACATTGCTATCATTTACAAGCTACATACTAAAAACACAGCATATGTCATTAAAATATGAATAATCATTAAATACAATATTGCCAAAATCTAAGTTGGCTTGAAGGTTATTACTTAAATTCAGGAACCTTTTATAAGTTAAGATATCCAAGATAAAATTGTGACTATACAGGGCTATCTAATCCTCAGCCTTCCTCAGGCCTGAAAGTAGTAAAGGATGAAGTGTTACAAAGGCGTTAGTACAGGCATGTTCGCATGTTTTTGCATGGGTTTAAGGCTTGAGCATTTTTAACATTATTGTTAGCCAATGGAAATGCATTTTTCATGCGTTTTCCAGGCTCTCTGCTCATGTACTTTTTCGAGTGACAAAGCTCCAGCCCCCATTGACACTTAAAGAACTCTGGAGAAAAATTTGGTTAACCCTTGCAGTAGGGCTACCCCCACACTGCTTGTTTTTGTCTAGGGACTAAAATAAAAAAGTTATACTAACCCTAATAGTAATCTCAGAGCTGGCTACCTGTCACACTGTTTGTCTAATGCATGAATGGTATGTCCCTCGGCGCCCTCACGTTCTACATGCTATAGGGATGCACTGATACCGGTTTTTCGGTATCAAGTACAAGTACCAATATTTTTTTCGGTACTCGCCAATACCGGAAGTCCCGTTAAGGAAGCCGGGCGTCATGTAATGACTAGCCGCCTGGCTTTTTGATTAGCTGGGAAGCCGTCTCCATACTCTTTCGTCACCAGGTGACGAGGAAGCATTGAGCCGGCTTTACGAACAATCAGGAAGCCGGGCGGCGAGTCATTACGCGCCACCCGGCTTCCTGATTAGACAGGAAGCTGGCTCCATGCTCCCTCGTCACCAAGTGACAAGGGAGCATGAAGCCGGCTTTCTGGCCAATCAGGAAGCCGGGGGGCTAGTCATTACCCATCCCTGGCTTCCTGATTGGCCGTGAAGCCAGTGTCCATGGTCCCTAAGCCGGCCAATCAGAAAGCCCAGCGGGGCGTAATGACCGGAATTTACGGATGTTCTGGTATCGGGGTAGTTATACTGGGTATTGGCACTGATACTAGTTAAGTATCAGTGCATCCCTAATATGCTACATATTGGACATGATAACTGGAGAATCCTTAGACTGCTGCTGCGGAGGAGAGATGCTTGAAGGACCAGTCTAAGAGCATGCTGGCTCTGAGATCAGATGAGTATAACTTTGTTATTTTCAGCCCTAGACCAAAACCAGCACTCAACCCTTGCAGTGCAGGGGTAGCCCCACTGCAAGGGTTATTAATATTTTCCCCTGAAGTTCTGCTTTAAGTGTTTTTTAGCATTAGCTTTTTTTTTAGTGTAAACACAACGTCTTGGCTTATACACCTCAAAAAGTGCGCCTGTAAATGCGCAACACACATTTTTGTGCCTGAAAGAACTGTTTTCCTCCTCTAGAACTGCTCTCCTCCCCTTCTCCAGCTCAGGAAAGAAACATGGAGAATTCTCTGCATGCATTCCTAGATGTGGGGGTGTTTATTCCTATGGTTACAGACGACCCTAACCTGAATAATACTAGGGATGGCTACTTCAAGAACAGAAACAAGAGGAAGACCTCCTGGGAGTAAATTTGCAAAAAAAGTTTTCCAGGATTAGTAGACATTCTTTACAACACTGTGAGACAGCCAAGGTAACCCTCTGTATACCTTCAGAAGTCATTGGGGGGAATTCATGAAAACTGGAGCAGACATTTTTTTGGCAACCAATCAGCTTCTCTCTTTAGTTTGTTCAGTTAAGCTTTGAAAATGCAAGAGAGAGGATGATTTGTTGCCATGGGCAACTGCTCCAGATTCTGTCTGCTCCAAGTTTTATGAACTCCCTCCATTATGCTTTGAAACTGCCGTGCATCTGCAGACATCTGAGTCCTAAGTAAGCTTTGTTTATAAACTGTTGCTAGAAGTTAGCTGTCTGTACCTTTCCTTGTCGGTGACAACAGCACCCTCAAATTCCTGTACAGGCGTCACTGGCCTGGCATGTGAGGAGAAATCCCCCAATGATGTCAAAGACAGAAATAAAAACCTGACAAAAACACTTAGGGGGTTATTCACTTAGCTGCCGAAGGCAGCCGAGTTAATAACCGAGCCGAAGAGAAGTGAGCTGAACGCTGTTCGGGTTCGGCTATTCACTTACATACATACGTACATTGGCTAAAATCAGCCGTACATCGCCTGCCTTCAGTCAGCCGAACATGCTCTGCATGATCGGCTGAGCCAAAGCGCAGAAGGAGTTCGACTCAGCCGATCCAACGACTGGATCGGCTAAACAGAAGCTCTGGCAGCTCACTTGCTGCCGTTCGCCCCTATTCTCATAGCGGTATTGGGCACGGCTATTATGCTCGCTACCTCCGAGGTAACGAGCAGAATAGAAAAAAGTTTAAATAAATGGAAAAAAAAAGTTTAAAAAGTATTTTAAAAATGGAAAAAAATAGGAGAATTAAAAAAAGTTAAGAAAACAATAAAAACATTTTAAAGAAAAAAAAAAAAACCATGAACGCCGATCCGACCCCACACGACGAACTCCCGCCGCATAATGTCAAATGTGACAGATGCCAGCAAAATATAAAAAATTGGGCAGAGCTAACGGTGACATCCCTGCTAGCTCCACCCAACTGTTTCCTATTGGCCGGCACCTGCCAGATTCTTCTAGCAGGTCCCGAGCAATAAATAACAACTGGGTGGAGCCGGCCATGGTGTCCCGGCCAGCTCCGCCCAGTTGTTATTGTTTAATGACAGATCAGCGTCCCCAGGTCTGTCATTACAACTGGGCAGAGCGAGCTGTGAGATTGTGGCTGGCTCCTCCCAGCAGTCATTTACGTGGAGATCAGTCGGCTTCGGACGACCTTTCTCCACGCTTCACCTGTCACTACGGCTCAGCCGAGCCGAAGCATATGGGTTTGGCGCAGCTGAGCCGCTCAGCTGCTGTACAGGCTATTTTGAATAGCCTGTACAGCAGCCCTTCAGTTCGACTGCACCGAAGGATCAACCGAAGCTACGGCTCATTAGTGAATAACCCTCTTACTGTTCTACACTTCATACAAAATGTTAAAAATACATTTATTGCAATACAACACATTAGGGGGGGGCACAGAAAAATGCCTCTTTAACCACTAAATGCCTCTATTTAAATAGAACAATCTTTAATTTTATGCGGCCAATGTGTCCTTGGTAAAGCACAATATTGCCTTAAAGTTTTATGTACCAATACCTGTTCATCAACCTAAAGCAACACAAACAAGTTTAAGTGCAATAATAGAGTTGTGGTATTTTCTAGAAATACATACTAAAAAGATATATACAACCACTTTTAATTAGTCTAAAATGTAATTGTCTTAGAAGTTTGGCAGGGGCCCACCAGAGTTATCTTTTCCCTAAGCTGCTGTCGTCATACCTGAAATCACCCCCATAATTTCTGTTTATTCACAATTAGTTTTTGAATTTTCTAGACAAACTGACACTTGAAGCTCAAATGACAGAAACAGCACACAAAAACAAAACCCACTGATATGCCCATATATTTGTTAAGCTTTGGCTCCAGAAAAGTGAATAACTTTTGATGCATCCACCCATACCTTATTTGCTTGTTTATTTTGTGTCTCCTTTGCTGTTTGCTTTCTGATAATGCATGCATCCTCAGGCAGATATACACACATCAATAGATATACTGGGTTATATGTAGACACATATTTGAATTTCATGAGAAACATTCTTTAATAAAGGTTAAGCTTCCTCCTTAAGGCATTTGAGACTCCCAGCCTGAGCGCTGAAATGTTTAATGCACTTCTTGCCATGTGTTATTGCTTAAGTAATGAGCAATTATTGGATTTCATTTTAACGTGTGAAAGGTTGTCATGTTATTTATGAGCTTTTAAGGGCACCCATACCTTTTCGCTGTCATCATTGCATATGTGGTCTTGATGTACTGGCTGACACTGAAATGAGGGGCCCAAATGACCTGCACAAGAAAACAAGAAAGGAGATATATTATTCCTTGCAACAAGTGAGTACTAAAATTAGATATCCACCTCTAATCAGCCAAAATAGAATGTGCCTCTGCCAAGATACACATTTTCCACTGTGGTTCCATTAGGGGTATTTGCTCATTAGGGATACTTGCTCTTACTTTGTGCATGGTCACCAAAACAGGAAGTGAGACTGAAATTGCCCCACTTTAGACACAAAAAGAAATAAAAGCCTTACAGGTCTATTCACAAAAGGGTGAATAGTTTGGAGACGGCAGAAGAAGTGAACAATCTAGAACAGGGGTGGCAAACACAAGGCCCGCGGGCCGAATCCGGCCCGCCGGACCTTGTAATGTGGCCCGCACAGCAGCCAGGGCCGGTCCGCTATGCCGACTCTGTGCAGAGCAGTGTCTACTGTGTGGTAGCAAGCAGAGCCGGCACTACCACACAGTAGACACTAGAGGGCGCTGATGGGGCGTTTGGGGAGTAGTAGAAGTGTATTAGGCTGCATTCACACCTTTATTTTAGGTGCAGTTAGGGATTTCTGCGTCAGGAACTTGCGTTTTCCTGCAACAGAAATCCCTAAATTGGCGTTTTACAAATGGCAGCTGTCACCTAAGTTAAGTTAACAGAAGTTGCATGTAAACGCCTGCACACCGCATGTAAAGATACGTGATATGTTTACATTCCGCTAGGAATCAATCACTCTCCCTGGACGCATGTAATCATATCACGTATCATTACATGCGGTGTGCATGCGTTTACATGGAGCTGCTGTCACCTGATCATTAACTTGACTAGGTGACAGCTGTCACTTGAAAACGCCAGATTAGGGATTTCTGCTGCAGTCTGAGCAGTCTCCAATAAAGTTTCTTGTGGATGTTTTCAAGGCTAGTTATTACTTAAATTATTATTAAAACCAGTAGCAACTGAATGCAGAGGCAACTATTTATGATAATAAAGAGTAGATGCATAGTCCTATACAACCGGCCCTTTGAGGGTAACCATACTGCTGATGCGGCCCCTGATGAATTTGAGTTTGCCACCCCTGATCTAGAACATTGCTGATTTGGAAAGTGAGATGAATTGGAGAATGTTTCCAAATCAGCTATGTTGTCCTAGATTGTTCACTTCTCCTGCCTTCTCCAAACTCTTCACTCTTTTGTGAATAACCCTGTTAGATACAGAGATTCTTTAGGTTTGAATTAAAATAAGAAGCTCTTTTAATTCAAACGTAAAGAAAATGTAGAAATCTAGCAATATATCTTCAAATAAGTATTAAAATACGAAGTAAGGTATACCAGATGAATTACTCATTATTTAATAAAGCAAAACTACATTTCTATTAACCAAATTGTGACCTAAATTTTTCAGGCATTGGTGTTTACTTGCTAACCTTACTGTTCACAAAGTGGATGCTTGCTATTCAAAGTGAATAAAAGTGAAGCTGTGTTTATTTTAAATACCCAATCATGTAAAATCTATAATATATATTATATATTATCTGTAAATATAACTCACTAATCACTAATTCAATTTTTTTTCATTTTAATTTCCCTCGCACAAGATTGGGTTTTCCAGAGTGTGCACAGTCCATTCACTAACATTCACATTTACTACTCCTTTAATAAATCACCACCATTGATCCAGCTGAGTAGAATAAAATTACAGTCTGTTCTGAGATGCAGGAAAAACACTACCCAACAGAAACATTTGGATGTGAATGGCATCTCAGCAGTAGAGCAGGTAGAAAATCTAGATACATTTAAAAAAAAAAAGCCACAATTATGTCAGAATATCATAAACGGAAGTACACAATTTTTTTGGGTTGGAGAGATGAGCTGAAAAATTAGGGTCAGTACCCGCACCTCGCCCACACGGAAGGCAAATACTCCAAAAGAAAGCTTCTTATAGAGGGATTTTTTTTGATCAGATAAAACCACTATTTACAAATTTCGTGGCTTCCGAATGGCCACTTCTTCAGGACATAGGTGTCATACACTGATGAAATAATATGCATACAATAAAACATTTCATATGGAAGGTAGGCATTCATTATATGAATTCATTGTAAAAACATGTGCATATCAATAGATGCCGAAGTAGTAAAAGTAATCAAATAAACAATCATCAAAATTAAATAGAGAAAAAAAATGATAAAATAATAACGCACATCAGTTGGAACTGCATTGTCTAAAAATACATCATATAAAGAAATAGCGATGTCATGTGATTTACATTTTATAATCTTATTTTATATCATTTTCATAAAACCTACGATTATATGGTATTGACTGAAAAAGATCGGACAAAGAAAAAAAAACTCTTGTGGAGTTTTGTCCTTTTTTTCTTATTTTTTACACTGCCATAGGTGGGGAATTACTTTTGTACTTTAGATTTTTTTTAGGTTTGGATAAAGTGTGAAAGGGTCAAAATCTCTGTCTGGATTTGAGGGCTAGTTTGCACCATAAATGCATCAGAATTGCGTGCGTCTGCGCATCTGCAATGCGATGCGTTTTTACAGCGTTTTACTGCGATTTTGGCTTGGAGGGCCCTGTCACACCATATCCAGTGTGTTCCGGTGCGGTTGAAGCCCGGAACGCACTGGATCACATAGATCAAGCCGGGCCGTGTTCTGGGGCGGGCGGGGACGTGCCATTCATGCCAATGACATCGCAGAAACGCCCCCCGCCCACAGTGTGATCGCTCGCACCGGATCGTGAGGTACAGGATTGCCCTCCGTTCCGCTGCAGTGCAATTGGAAAAAAATGCTGCATGCACTATTGACATGAATGGCACCGCCTGCCTCAGAATGCGCCCTGGCTTGATCTTTGGGATCCAGTGCGTTCCGGGCTCAAAACACACTGGAACACACTGGATATGGTGTGACAGAACCCTCAGGTGCATTCAAGTGCGTTTGCATGCGTTTTTATGCATTTTTATGCATTCCGTTGTGATAAGGTATAGCAAAAATGTTGGCAAGCAGGATTTTTTCTGTCTGCATCGGAACTGAACAGAGCACCAGAAATCCCATTGGAAAGCATTGTGACACGATTTTGATACAGCTGCCAAACTCAACGGACTGCATCACAACTGCATCTGGTGTGAACTAGCCCTTAATGCTGTCTGTGTTGCAATTGAGGAAAGTCTCATCACTTTCTGTGTGGTCACTAGGACAGGAACTGAGAAGAATCTCTCCAAACAACAAAGAAAGTAATAGAAGCACTTTTATTAATGCAGTAGTGAAGCATTATACACTTGCGTTATTACCCCTCCCTTCCTGTCTTGTATAAAAAACTGTACCTATTAATACTGATGTCAAGGGGTACCTGAGGACTCACATCTAATCTGAAATACTGGTGTAATTTATCTGAATTGTTTTTTGGGGTTTTACCATTTGGATATTATTTGCCTTTAAGCCCACCACTACAGAGTAAACATTAACTGGCTACTAGTGGATAGATGACAATGTCAGGGTCTGCACAAGCTAGAAAGCTAAGAACCCCCCTAAAAGTATTTTTATGTACGTGTCTATGAAAAAGGATAAGGAATGTGGGAGGCATTTTGGGACAGTTTATTTATCAGTTCGACTTTTAGGCAGTATATTTGTACTGTGTGTTTTTTACGTTAAAGCAGAGCATGCATTAAAATGCAAGGTCCACTTATCTAGGAGCCCCCACCACCAAATAAGCACTAATTAAAGGCTAAAAGATATCCCACAATAATGCACTGCTGCACTGTTTTCATCTCCGTAATTCCCCAGGAGGCAACAGTGATGCACAGTGATGTCACCAGTCCCTTGAAATACAGTTGGGTATTTTTTCTTCTTATGGCTTATTCTGTTAAGTTTTTAATTAGCATTTTTTATTTATGGGTGGGCGGCTACTAGATAAGCTGATCCTGCATTTTCATGCCTCGGTTTTGCATTACATGATAGTATGTCTATTCCCATATTTTATAGATCCTGTTCTTGTATGACATGCAGTAAAGGAAGGCATATGCAGTACAAATGTGGATAAGCAGTAGTTCAAAGTGCTTTCAAATATAACAACAAAATGTTTTTTTACTTTTAGACTTTAATAGTGATGGTCAGGCAATAGCAGTCTGACATGTGTCAACGCTCAGTGGAAATAAATATCAATTTCCTTTGACACTCACACTCATTTCCACCGGGGATTGTGTCTCAGGCAAAGCCTGAGCATTAGATTGTCCGTGGAATAAATCATGTGTGCAACACTTCTTAGAACATCTGTTTAACCTCCACACAAGGGCCCACTACACAGAATACTAAGCAAAGCATAACTATGACCTTTCCTGAAGAATAGAGTTTGCTGGACAATCATCTGAGACCTGAACATTATGTTAAACGACATTTGTGAATGTCACAGATTGTATCACAACACACTTAACTAGTTTACAACGCTTTGCACAAAATAATATTGCTCTACTTCTTAAAATAACCCTTGAGTTTCTGTTTGCTATCCAATCTAACAATATCTTTGCATAGGGGCTGTTGCAAGCTCTGTATTGCTCCCCCTCTCTAATCTCTAGCAATCCTTAGATAGCAGTTGTGAAAATCTGTGTAAAAAAACTGACTTTATTTCAGAAGTTGCACATGCAGGATTACAAAGGGGTCTATTCACGAAGCAGCCTAAGGATCTAGCCGTAGCTTTGGTCGATCCTTCGGCTAGCTTCGGCCCCAGAACCCCTTCGGTTCAGTAGAGCCGAAGGGCTGCTGTACGGGCTATTCACTATAGCCCATACAGCTCCCAAGCAGCATTCAGCTATTCACTCACTGCTGTTCGGCATCTAAAAGAATAGACCGAACAGCAGCGAGTAGCCTGCTGGAGGTTCGGCTTAGCCGATCCATATGTTGGATCGGCTGAGTCGATCTCCTTCTGCACTTCGGGTCGGCGAATCATGCAGAGCATGTTCGGCCGACCCGAAGCCACCTGATGTATGGCTGATTTCAGCCGATATACGGCTGAAATCA